TTTTTTTTTTTTCGTCTCCTCATAGAGATTGATCCAATGCAATCATTTAGCATTCGCGGATATTAGCAAAGAATAATTACAGTCGATTATCGATATCAAGCCGTGAGTTATTTAGCTATGTGAGTCATACTATTGGCATCGTGATTTCAAACGAGATACGTATTTTTACGTGGTGTAATATTGTGGGAGAGAAATTTACATTCCTCTAAAAAAATACTATGAGTTATGTTTGTTTGCATTTGTGCAGTATTGCATCAAGCATTAATATCTTTTGCATATTATAAATATTAATCGTGGAAAATATATTTGAAAAATATTAAATGTTCAAAGGTTTATTTTCTCTCACGCGAAATATTTAAAACGTTAACAGGTGATAAGTTAAATTTCCATAGGATAACAGATATCGTTGTAGACAAACACGTGTCACGTTCATGGAAGCGCAAAATCGAAGAAAACTCAGAATAAATTTGCCTAGCTTTACTTTGTCATCTTTGGTACTTGAACAGGTGGAACTCTGAGCAACCCAGTCGAAGCTGATCCCGAGCCGAAGTGAAAAAAGAACAAGTTGAGTTCTTCTCGTCGCGACGAAACGATCTACTCTTCGGGAGGATCGATTTAAAGTACAAACAAGAGAAGAAAAATCTGGAAGAGGGGAAAAAGGTATCACATGCATCTATATACAAATGTAATTAATGCATATTCATAAGATAACATGATTCAACTTCTCTTGTTAGCTCTGTTGAATAGATACATATCAATATCAGTATCGTTTCATCGCTATTTTTATTTTAATTTTCTTGCAAATCTTTCACTCCTTACTTACATTGTTGTTCGATATTTACATAAAATTCTGTTTTAAAAATTCGTTTGTAATTATATTTTTCACTTTTTATTCTTTAAGTCAAACTTATAATTCATCTACTTATAATTTTTTAACAAGATCATTGTTAATAAAAGTCATTTAACAATGTTTCATCGATGCGTTCATTAATTGTTAATATTATTTTTAATGACGTTTCAAGTTAATTTATTATAACTTTTAAATGGCTGGTACATGATCATTATGTTAAACTTTACACCATTTAGAGAGAATCGTGAGTACTTTATGGAGAGATTGTTATAGATTCAACGCATTTAATCTCATTTACCGAGACGTGTGTGGCATAATGAATAAGGAACTGAGTTATCAGGGTTTAATCTCGTTTATTACGAACTTTGTTAGATCGAAGTGTCGGCTTATTTCCACGAAAGTTCGTTTACCTATCTGGGAAAATTCGATCGATATTCTCTAATCGTCGTATAAATTTCCAACTCACGCAATTGATATTTAATATGTTTATTTGTCCTCTTGTCGTTTCAAATTTAATCTAGAGCTTTACGCGAATTTTATGATAAAATTGATCAAACTTTGCCGCACGTATTCCCAACTCTATTGTAAAAGTGACGATGAAACGTCGTAGACACCTACCGGGCAAAATGTAACGCTTTATGGTCTATAACCTATGGAATAAAATATTTTACCATGATAAAAAAGGAGAGGGGAAAAGAATGTTATTTTTTTTAAACAATATGCATTATTAATAGTTGCAATAATTCATTATTTTTCAAATAATGTTATCTTATACCTTCTGCTCAAGTCTAGATGAAAATTTTACTCTATCACTTTATACTTTATTACATCTCCATATTTAAACCTTTCAATTAATAAAATTTAAATTTAAAATTTTTCAATGGATTCTAAATTAATGAAATTTAAAACTCAGATCGAATTTGTAGAAAATAATTTGTAAAAAATTTCCATATTTAAGGTCACCATGATCAATTGACAAATGTTGGAACGATGGATGGTAATTTTTCTCCAGAGAAATCAACCGAGATATCTATTAAAATAATGATGATCCCAAGCGAAAAAACAGCAAATAAATGCCATTATAATTCTCTCTCTTGATAACAAATCTAACGTCTCACGACCTAGGCTTACCTCAACACCGTTATCATTATCTAGGTTAATTTTATAC